AGCTAACAAGATTTGTGTGTATTTAGTAGCATCCACACTTTTAATTACACTTCTTTGTTTTCCAGCTGACATTAACTGCAGATAAATCCATTTCAACTGATACTTTTAAATGCTGGCTCACTTACAAACTTCGTGTTGTATAAATATTTACTTTAAAAATAAACCAACAAAACACTTCGATAGTGGGGGATATCACTCAGCGACTCATACATATACATATGTATGTGCATATGTAGAGTGATCTTAAACTGTTATTTGCAGANACTTCGATAGTGGGGGATATCAGTCAGCCACTCATACATACATACATATGTATGTGCATATGTAGAGTGATCTTAAACTGTTATTTGCAGACATAGATGCTTACAATAGCAAGCGAATTCTACAATTGTGACGCTGCTGACCTATTAGAGATTCGCTCTTAAAAGTGTGTGCCAATGTAGCTTTTATTTTCTTCCACACTTGCAAGTGTAGTAGCAGCTTAATACAAGTTCAAATAAGCTTTGAACATCGACAACAGGCATTGAAGTATGCGCGAGAGTTATACTTAGTAATTGTATATTAGGGTGGTCCAAAATCTCTGCTTCTCTGCAGGAGACCTCCAATAACAATACCTAATTGTTTATTTAACCATATTTTAGTACTGACTGTTTTTAAAAGTAAAAAATCGTTAATACTAAAAAATTGTAAAATAAACAATTGGATATTATTATTGGAAGTTTTCTGAAGAGCAGCACAGTTTTCCGATTGAAAAATATTGATTTTCAGGAGCTCTATGCCATTTCTATAAAAAAGTGTTTTCCTCCATATAAAATGCTTACAAAACTTCATGGTCTTTGAGGCTGTTCTAAATATCATTTTTTTCCAAACAAAAACGGGCATTATTTTTTCCATTTGGAAAAGTTTTAAAGATCGAGAGCTTAACATTTTAAAATTTTTTGGAACCACCCTAATATATATATACAAACATATATACATGTATGTATGTATGCCTCTTGGTATGCGCCAGTGTATGGCTGCAAAAGACTGTGTGCAATGGCAGGCACTAAGCAGCATATCTCACATTCTTCTAAATGGTTCAATGGTGGCCGCAAGTGGTACGCTGATAAGCAAATACGCTTGCGGTGTGAGAGAGAAGAACGTGGTAAGCGATGCTTCGCATTGCCAATCATTAAAATGTGACAACGAACGATTGAACGCAGCAAAAGTGGAAATGATCGAAATGAGCAAAGCAAACAACGACGAGTGCTATTGTTTATCATGGCGTAAAGTATGTATGTACACATGTAGTATATGCTCCCACTTAGCAATGGCTGCCGACAAGTCGAAAACTGTTTTTACAAAAGTATATGGCGGTAGATAAAAGGAAATGTGAAAAGATATCTTTGAGTAACGACATTTGATGACGCGTGCGTTGTCTGCAAGTAAGAGTGAAAATTAAATGATTGCGAGCGTTTTTGAAGATATCAGTTAGCTGCGGTGTGGTAAATTGCGTTTAATGACATAGGATGAAGGATGGAAAAAAGGCTGAGCCACAAAATGGTATTTTCAATGGATAAGTGTTGATTCTGAGTAAGAGTTGATAGGATTAGATAGTGACTTTAGACAATTACAGAATCTCAAATTCACCCTACCCTATAGCTGTCCATAGTTGGTATTAAGAATTTCAGAGGCGATAGAGACCAGAATTTTTTTATTTTGCTATGGACCTAAATTTTTAGAAGCCTATTGGCTTACATACGAGTCTCTTTTGTGTGATGATAACAAGTCTATTTTGTGTATAGACTTCACTGAGAATATTTATTATAATTTTCGAAATCAGCCAAAAATTTTACTTCAGCTGCATACAATTCTGATGGGGATAGAATTCAAGAAACATTTATTTATGTAAGTGCTATCCTTTTCATTTGAGTGTACGAAATTGATAAATGCACTTAAAAATTAAAATTCTTCCTTACTGCCACAGTAACCGCCTCAGCGCTTTTAGCGAGTCCAGTCGTTTTTTAACTAACGCCTAATCGGAGCCGATTTTATTTTATTAGAAGCTTTTTCAAGGCAGAAATACAGCCGGAACTTTGCAGATGGTTTGGAAAACCTTTTTCTGATTTATATGTTGCTCGGAATATGAATCGAATCCAGCTCGTGCAGAGTTTGCGGAATGTGTGAATTTGTGTTTAAAAATATTTTAAATATCAGAAAGCCAAAAGGTAAACTGTTCCCTCTTGCGATGAAGGCCTCCGTCTAGTTTATACTATGTAGAATTTATAAGTATTAAACATCAAAGTAGTTTGCCTTCGAAAATTTTAAATTATCTTTGTGGGGCCATTGAGCTCGCTAATTTGCAGCGTTTTGGTGGTGGTTTTTCACTGGCTTTTTGGTGCTGATTAAGAATCCGTAAGTGAGTCGTTTATTTTGAAAGTGGCACAAATGACTCAAAAAAATCAAGTTAATGATAACATGGATTACACCGAGCATAAGTCAATTTTGCCCATAAAAAATATATACTTCCAAAACTAGTAGCCCAATACAAAAAAACTGTGGAAAAAAAGTTTAATATTTTTAAATTCCAAAGAATTTATGTTTTCTTTGGTAGGTACCCACATTGTTAGTCGAGATGAAAATGTTACTCATACGCCATGTAGGTACGTTGGTTTTTAACTATTTCGTGATAAATGGTAGATCAAATATGAATCCGAAATTTTGAATTTTTAAAATGTGATTCCTGATTCGGAATCAGGGACCTGAAGGACTCCCGACTGTAAAGTTTTAAGCGAAGTTAACTGATTTTAATTTTTTTTTTTACATTATACCGGGTCCGGCATTTTGAATCTTGCCAATCGGACTTCAGATTCGACCAAACAACAATCGATTTCACACAACATTAAACTAACAGTGGAACAAATACGCGAATTCAAGTTTGATACTTTTGAAACTGTCCGATGGCGTTTGTGCGGCTTTCAAAACAATGATTTGTAATGACAGCAAAGAGCAATGTTTTTTGAACCCATTATCTAAAATTGATCTCAGATGGGAGTTATATTTTTAACGTTTAATTTTTGCACACAAGCTATTTTACCAGCACGATATGAATATCGCTAGAGTGAAAAGTCGCTAAGTAAACTTTTTAAGAAAGTTTTTTTTTTATATAGTATAAAGCATATTAAAAATGCATTATTGTCATATACGAGTATCTACTTCGTTCCAATTCAGTGAAACATATCGCACACGATCCTCAAAAGTGTGTAAATTGGAAATATGCCTTTTTCATATTATGTGCTAGAAATATCCACAGATCGTGAACCTTCCTTGAAACGCTGAAACAAAAGTTTGCTGTGATTTATTGCAAGAGGCACATTAAATAATCCTTTCCATATACATATAAATATATAGTATATTATTAGAATGAGCTAAAAAAAATCATTTGCGGATAAATTGGAGTTAACTCACATTTGTAGAACGCGTGCGATATATTTACGTATACATCTTAACAAACATAGGTAGGTAATAGAGGTCACAGCTTCATTAACACATCTTCCATCTAAGTGTGTAAATAAGTATTGACGAGCGAATATTCGCTTAATTAAAACGCGCTCAGCAATACCGCAGCCTGTTGCTCGAATAAACCTTTATAACATATTTAAATTAATTTTTGAGTTAAAATATATCTTCGAATATTATTGTATTTAAAATAATTTCTAATGTAGCATTCTGTCCGGAAACAAGGTTTCATGAAAAAGTACACCAGTGCGTATGTGCAACGTTCCGCATTGAGAGACAGGCGTAGCGTATTTTCTTTTTAGTTTTGCTAAAGTAACCCATTATAAAACTCTAATAAAAATTTGTGTGTTATCCGGGTTATCTTCTGCGCTTAAACCCATGCTTTACTATATTTTTTTTTTTGGCGCGGAGTTTAAGGCCCTTTTCAACTGCCCTAAATAGTCATAAATTTTTTAAGTAACACAAATTTATGAAAATTTGGTTGCTAAGTAAAAAATCATATTAAGAAATAACAATTCGATAAATGTTGATTAGGTTGTTCTTTACACATTTAGCTAAGTAAATATTGTAGAACTATTTTAAGTATTCTACGAAACGAAAGAAAAGACAACAACAAGGTGAGTTCCAATATTGCAATACCTACATTCCTATGTATGTATATATTATATGTATATATACCATCACTATTAAGCATTTTAAATTACTATATTGTAAGGCTAACATTTATACTTAAATCATTTTATGTAAATTTTTTGTGTCTCACCAAAACTTGCCACTCCTGCACTTTCTCAATAATAAGTGTTGTAATTTAGTTTATTTCGTTTTCTATTGTATTTCAATAATAAAATAGTTAAAATAAAGGTAAAATTAAAAAAAAAAACAAATCGGGTTGAAATCAGAAAAGTATCAGCCAAACCAAGTGATCTTTATTTTATACATAAATTGAACAAGCTGACTGCCAGCAAAGCGGCAAGAATATTTGCAAGCAAGTAAAAACACATTGCGCTGATAAATTAATAGATACTCGTATCATCAATGTTTAGCAGCACCAAGCAGCAGTATGTAGTAGCGTTTGAATAACTGCATTAAACCTAAGTTCAATAAACGAATGCTGCTTTGTAAACTCTACAACATTTTATTTGCATAATAAATAAATAAATAAAAAAAAAACAATACAACAACAACAATAATATGTAACAGCCTCCACAGTTTTTAGCAAGAAAAAAAATCTATGAAAAATAAAATGTTACAACTTGCAAAACAATAACAAAAAACAAAAAAAAACCAAAACAAAAAAACTTTAAATTCAACTTGAACAATTCCTTNCAATACAACAACAACAATAATATGTAACAGCCTCCACAGTTTTTAGCAAGAAAAAAAATCTATGAAAAATAAAATGTTACAATTTGCAAAACAATAACAAAAAAAAAAAAAAAACCAAAACAAAAAAACTTTAAATTCAACTTGAACAATTCCTTCCTTCCTCATTCAAATTACAGTCAGAATAATGGGCATGGACGAGAAATTGCATCTGAAAATGTTCGAAGATAATCTGGCGCTCATTGATACGCCTCTCATAGCGACAGCGACGAGCACCCACTATCCGGGCACGGTGACAACCTCGTTGCATACGCTGCACGGCATACTCTTGTACCCCTTCAATGTGAGCGACTTCCAGCAGCGTCACGCCGCACCAGCTGTCCATGAGACCGCCGCCGGCGCTCTAGATGTCATCGACACTGGCAACTCGTACGGCTACGATCAGGCAACTGGACATAGCAGTCATGGCCATAGCCACGGCAGCGCCAGCGGCAATGTTTACTATCAAAGTATGTGTAAATGTTTAGCTCTACAAGTACATACATACAAACATAAATTAAAAAAAAGTATGAAAAGCAAAAAAATAAAGTAAAAAATAGAAAATATGGAACAGGAAAGAGGAAAGAGGTAATAAAAAGAGTTTGCAGGCGCTTATAGCTGGAAAAATACTTGAAAGTTAAAATAGTTAGCTGAGAACAAAAGAAAAACTGCAAAAGCTCAAATTGTAGGGCATAGTCGCCGCTTAGTATTTAGCTTGAGTAATTGTGTGTATGTGTGTGTTTGCGTGTGTGCATAGGCAAGCTACTATTTGTGTACGAGTATTTTCAGTAGTCCAGTGGGAGCGTAGAAGAGTGGCGGCGCAAAGTGTTGGAAAACTAATTTATGCAATGTACATAAACATATATAAATTGTTAATTTCACGAGTATTACATTTATCATTTACGAGTATTTTAAATGCTTTTATTTTAGTTTATTTTTTTATTTTTTTATTGTTTACAAAAATGTGCTAATCCGTAAACTTTTATTGTGCTACGAAAAATAGTGAAATTACATACATATATGTATGTATATACATTAGGGTGCATCAATGTACATAAAACAAGAATATCGGTACTGTTTTTCCTTCGGAAATATAAAATTAATTATGTTTTAGGACTTACGCCAAAATATTTCGGAAAAATATCACGATTACGTAAGTTGGAAATACCTCCCAAATCAAGCGTTTTATAAAAAAAAAGTTTTTGAAATTCTTTTTTAAATCCTCTCAGATTATAGATGAGTATAAGTCTGAAAGGCATTCATAAAAATGTTTTAAAATTATATTAACGACGTCAAACTGTTAAGATTTTGTAGGTGTGTTCAAATCGGTCTAGCTCACGTAAATCTTAATATTCTTTCGAAATATTTTAGTAAATATAATAAATTTTTTATGTAGGTATTTACTTTAGAAACATCGCAGCTTTTTTTGGTAATGCACCCTAATGTACATATTTTACGTATGTATGTATATATTTTTGCATATTTTTATATTATTATTTCCTATTTTTAATTTTCCGTTATAAGCCAAAGCTTCTTATGTGGCACCCAGCCACGCCTACTCTACACTCGACAAATGTATTTTTTTAGTTAAGTGTTTTCAGAAATTCAAATGAAACAATCAAAACAAATTCCAACAACAACAATAATATATGAAACAAAAAATAATCTCAATAACAAATCTGTTGCAATGAACGACAACAACAGCAAACAAAAAATAAAAACCAAAACACAAAAGTCAGCATAAAAAACGAAGGCGAAACGAAAACAAACTACCGCTTTGTTATTTTATTTGTTTTGTAAAATTTTCAAATTTATTTTTAACTGCCACAATTTGTTTCGATTTCGATTGTCTCCTGTTCGTAATTAAATCTATGAATAAGCTTAAACAAAAGTACAAACAACAACAACATTTTTGTATTAAATAGCAAAACAAATATTTAAACCAAAAAAAAAGAAAGGAAAAACCAAAACATTTTTTTCAATTTTCGAATTTTGTTACATAAAATTCAATTCAATTTTTTCCGCACTCTTACAAATTTTTTCTATTCTATGCACTGTTTTACAGCAACAAAATAAAAATTTGTTAAAAAAAAAATAAAAATTTTACCTACATACATTACTCGTATATTTAAATACTATAATTAATTAAAAACGAAGCAAGTACTACACATTTTTCAAAATTTCATGCAAATCAGTTCCGTTCATTATTGTGTTCGAATTTGAAATTTTTATATTATTACATATGTTCATATGTACATGCAATCAGATGGCTCATATTTCATACTGTCAACGCTAAAACTATTCCAACACTAACAATTCAAATCAATTCAATTCAATACCTATACTATGCTAATTAGTTACAGACTCATACACAACACTTTTTGTTTCATTCGCTAGTTTTAACTAGTTTTGGTTAAATTTTTTACATCTTCATTTTTTCCCCCAACTTCAGAGCATTAATTTTTATTAAAATATTTAGTACGAATATTAGACAATTTTATATTCGGTTCTGCGCAGCGATTTCATGTGTGTACATAGCAACCACATGCATTTCAAGCAACATATTCACCAACATACAAACAAANTCCCCCAACTTCAGAGCATTAATTTTTATTAAAATATTTAGTACGAATATTAGACAATTTTATATTCGGTTCTGCGCAACGATTTCATGTGTGTACATAGCAACCACATGCATTTCAAGCAACATATTCACCAACATACAAACAAACATACATACATAAATATGTATTTGTTTACAAACATTGCAAATTTTGCGTTAAATTTTCACTTCCGAAAACAATTTTTGTCTTTTGCGTCATCATTATCGCTTTAAATTGTTGATACCGTTTTTGTTAAAATCCTCCACCGTTATTGATTTTTATAAAAATTTTGCAAATTTTATTTCTTCGTTTAGATATTGATTTACCTTTTTCCAACTCAAAATGTATGTATGTATGTACACACAAATTTTATTATAATTTTGCAAGCCTAACAGCCAATTTCACGAAAGCAATATATGCAAGTGAAAAATGATTTTAATTTTGTGAATTTCATATGGAAATTGATAGAAAATTAAAAATAAATTTCCATTTAAATTGCTGGTGAAACAGGCTGCAAGCATATTTGATTTAAAGGGTTCCGTTTTTGATTTAAAGGGCTTCCTTCCTATTTATGAAAGAAAGCGATATTCAGCGAGTAAAACCTGTGCAATTTTCAGAATAGTTTCATTAACCTCGAAGCCTTACAAAGAAGGCTAAGCATAATTACGCTGTTAAATAAAGAACGCTTCTGTAGTAACTTAACTTACGCTTTAAGGTAGATCTTTGACAATAACACTTTCTCGTAGTAGAAATTTATTAGGATCTCCTCGAAATACTCTGCCATTTTGTAGGTAGATCAGAAGGTATGTTCTCAAAGCAACGCAAGTTACAAAAAGCATATAGAAGCAGGCGTGTCGGTGCGTGTCTGATATCAGGTAAAATTCGCACTTCGTCATTATAATTTGTTGTAGATTTTGCGCTGAGTGGAAGACCTTCTAGCTCTGGGTATTCCGCACAAAATAAAGGGCTAATAGTCAAGCTCTGATTCAGAGTTAAAAGAGGACAAAATAAGGCTTTAATTTAATTTGTAGAATAGGTATGTTTGCCACTGCGTATGAGTAATATTAAATTGAGCAAATGAGTGTAGCCAAGGCACATTGCATAAGTAGCAGCAGCGCGGTTGCGATTTAGATTTTTTTTATTCGAAGTGATCCATGAATTGTCATTTTTGTTAACACTTTATTCTGTAATGTCAAATTTTTGTTTCCTTTTCTTTTGACATTTTGGAGCAAAAAGTCAACAAAAGAATATATGCAATGCTTGTAAAAATACTATTCCAGGGGTGGGCAAGGCCGAGGCGGAAACGAGCTGCATGTAAATTCTAAATGCTGCAAAGAGTCATAAGAAAAACAAAAACTTTACTTTTTAATTAAATTACTTTTAGAAATGAAGAATATAAATTTTATTGTCATTCTAATGTACGTAAGAAAAGTCAAAAGTTCGCTTTGGCCAAATTTTCAAAATCTGGGTTTACGTCAGTTAAAGCCGTTCGTAGAAGTTCTGTTAGGTACGTTCTTTTAAAATCGCCAGTAAAAAACGTCCAACAGCAAAATTCCCGCGAAATGTCATCTGTTCACTCACAAGAAGTAAATATCCAAAATAGAATGCGAACAGTAAATCTGCAGAAACTTGCAAGTTAGACGAACAGCTGATAGAAATTTTGTTTACATTCAAAATTCATCACAAACTGTTATCCTGACACAGTTTATTGATTAAACAAATAACTACTTACTTCTTACAAGTTTAATTAGTCGCATTTTGACATCTTTAACTTCAAAACCATCACATTCCATTTTGTGAATTACATACGTAAATTCCAACCAGCTGTTTTTGATCCCTGTTTTCCTGTTGGAAAATTGCTGTTGGCAAAAATTTTTCCCCTCAAAATGATATGTCACTTTGCTCTCTCAATTTCCCCTACGTTGNAATTTTGTGAATTACATACGTAAATTCCAACCAGCTGTTTTTGATCCCTGTTTTCCTGTTGGAAAATTGCTGTTGGCAAAAATTTTTCCAACAGAAACTAGCAGCTTCCCCTCAAAATGATATGTCACTTTGCTCTCTCAATTTCCCCTACGTTGCAAGTTTTTTGCATACGCGAACGAAAAAAACCTGAAAGTGTTGGTTAACTTTGAACAATTACAAGGTACGCAAATGCAATTACTTATTATCTTGTGAAAATTTGTCTGATTATTTATGAAAAGTATCTTCATTTTGAAGATAAAGTGCGACTTCTGGCAACACTGGCGCTAAACTTGGGTATGCTGTGGCGTATGAGTAACATGCTTACTGCTCGTATTTCATACGAAAAATCTTTGCGCATTTTCATTAGACCACTCGTATTTCATATTTCTCCATCGATTTGCTTCATCAGTAACTTGATTTTATGTTTTGTAACAGAACAGGCTTGAGTACAAATGCAAAAATTTGGCACAGAACTTGTTATTTTCTTAATTTTTATTCTGTTAAAGTTTAATTTTTTCATTAAAAAATAAAACAAAAACTGGAATGATTAATTAATTTGTNCCATTTTTTCATTAAAAAATAAAACAAAAACTGGAATGATTAATTAATTTGTCAGAAACTATAAGCCCTATCTGAAAGTGATGTATGTATATACGGTATATGGAGAACTTCATTGGCTTTCATTTTCCGCATTTTTTTCAAGATTTTTAAGTATGTTCGTAAGATATACGTGATCAAAAGGAACCAGTTTTTGCTTTAAGCGGAATAACGGTAAATTGCCAATATCTCGAAAACGTATCCATAGAAGAGAAAACTAACTCGATTTTCGAAATCACCAAGCAATTCTATATAGGGATTGGATAGTGGCGTCTGGATAATAAAAACCTAATTAAATTTTGTGA